TATGAAATAGCGCAGTTGAACTAATATTTTAATTTTCAACTATCCAAATATGTTAAAACTGCAAAACATCCTTTGCAACTGTAGATTTTTGTGAATAGTAGTGGTATACTTATGAAGGTTCGGAATTCTAATTGGTATTTTCAGGTGTGCGTTTTAGCTTAACTAAGATTCTTGTTATATTGCATTGGTATCATTTTCAACTGAAGTTAGGTTTTTGGTATTTTTATGTAAAAATTAAAACTCCTCAGCTAATGGAATTGAGAGAACTGTACTTTTGTAGCAATTAACCATGACGTCCAACATGATTGTTTTTGACTGGCTAGAGCATGTTGAAATATATTTGTGTGTGTGTGTGTGTGTGTGTGTGTATGTAAGGGTGCATGAACATGAGTTTTGCTTTGTGTCACCCACTAACTTGTATCTTCGTAATTGTTACAACTTGTAGGCTCTTTCAAAAGCATTGACTGAAGATGAGCTGGTTTATCTCAGGGCACAATTCAGGCTGTTGGAACCGAATAGAGATGGGAGTGTCTCTCTTGAAAATTTTAAAATGGTTATTGACTGCCTCTTAATCCTAACAATTCAAGTTTTACAACTAAATTGGTTAATTATTTGAAGCTGATTTCTTTTCTGTTCATTGGTGTGACATGTTGACTTAATTAGGCAATGATGGGGTGTCTCAGTAATCTGTCCTTGTTTTCCACCTTTTTAAGGGGACCTTATCTTTGATCTCTCTGCTTTTTTATTATTTTATTTAAATTATAAAAAATTTATGACACTAGGATATCAATTTTGCAGGCACTTGCTCGAAATGCTACTGAAGCAATGGGTGAATCTAGGGTACCTGACATTCTTAATAGTGTAAGGCTCTTTCTAGAAGTTCTCCTTGGTGGCAATTTTTATTAATCGTTTTTCTCACAATTTAGTGTTTTTGGTTAGACATTTTGGCTTAAGGGTCTTCGGGCCTGGAAGAAAATGGTTTTCATTTTAAATTGCTTTATTAATATCGAAATATCCATGAACCATGGTGTTTGTATATGCTTTTACTTTTCCAAAATGTTTAAGCATCTTAATCAGCATTCATGATTTTTACCTGCTTCTATCACCTTAATTCTGCTTTGTAAGGTTTGTGTTTTTCTTAGAATACCAATAGACATCTCTCCACTCCTTTGGTTCTCATTTGTCATTTGAATTTCAGTTCCTCACGGTTGCATTATTGTTTGCTCAGATGGGATCACTTGCATACAGGAAGATGTACTTTGAAGAGTTTTGTGCAGCAGCGATTAGCACACATCAACTGGAAGCAGTTGAAGGTTGGGAGCAGATTGCCTCCACTGCTTTTGAGCATTTCGAACAGGAGGGCAATCGAGTAATTTCAATTGAAGAATTGGCACGGGTAAGTTGTTTCTTCCAAACCTCACAGCGTCATCTTGTCCTAATAACTTTTTTATGTTGTGATTCCTTTTGATTTGATTACAGGAGTTGAATGTTGGCCCTTCAGCATATTCATTCCTCAAAGACTGGATCAGTGTCTCGGATGGAAAGCTTAGTTTACTTGGGTATACAAAATTTTTACATGGTGTGACGCTTCGTAGCTCGAATACAAGACATCACTAGTTTTTTAGCCATTGATATATATAGTTCTTAAAAATTCATGGCATTCTGAATGATTTGTGATTTTTTTTTTTTTTAAATTTAATTTTCTTTTAGGGTTGGTTACAGAAAAATGTGCATAAGTGAATATTTTAGTAAGATTGTTGCGGAAATTTTACCGTGAGAATTTCTTCTTACTCGTATCCAAATTTTGCATTTAGTGCATGTATGTCGGTTTGAGTTGGAGACGCTAAAGTCATTGGTGCTGAAAGGATCAATGGAAAAAACCCAATGTCAATCTTTTCATAAAATTTACAAAATTTTTCATTATCTCGGCATTTTATAGTTATCGTCACTTCCCTCCAGAGTTTGACTTTGTCATAATAGTTGTCTAAGTCATATTTGTGCTCAAAATTTTGGTTGAATTAATTTAGAATGATTTGAAATTAAATTAATTTTATTTTAAAATTTAATCATTTGAATTTAAACTCAAAACAGTTCAAAATATCAAATTTAAAAAATTCAAACTCGAAATAATCTAATTCTGCCAGTTTGATTGACTCCTCCCTAGACTGTCGTTGCAAGCGGGCAAGGGCGGAGCATGGCTGTATGTGGTTCTGAGTAAGCTAGAGCGGCCTTTAAGCCCAAAACTTGGGCTCTAGGCTCAAGCCCGTGGGATATAATCCATTTTTGGCATAGGGAACTAGAGCCCAGAAGTCATGGTTATTTGAGGAAATAAACCAGGATATATTTACAGCCATGCGTTATATGGTGGTGAAGTTTGACTGTTCATAGATTTCTGATTCAAGCCTACAAAATACAAGAAACTTCCTTTTCAATCCAGCGCAAGCAGGTTTCAATCTGAATTCTAAATCGGAGTAGAATGCAGCCAGAAAAAAGGGCCATTTCACAATGGCAATTCCGGTTCCACCACAACATTATGAATGTGTTTTTAAAATATCGTATGCATAAATCAACGGGCTTCTTGACAAGGATTAAGGTGGGGTTAATTGAGTTGACTGGTTAGAAGTTTCTTGTCAATTGACTTACTATTACTAACCACTGTATTTTCCCATTAATCAGGGCTTCGCTTAGACGAACGGAACGTTACTTATAACAAAGGACTCCTTTTATTTCCTTTAAAGCACTATGATTTAGACATACATCTGCCGGAGTAAGTACATGTCCTTGTCCAGATTAAATTTCCTTACACCAAATGCAGGCTTAATAATTACCATATCCTTATAAAAATTCTTGCAACACACTTAGTCACGGGTTTAGAAATTTTTGGAGTGTTCATAATTTATTTATTGATGAATTGTGGATGAATTTGTTAATTTTGTCGACGAAAAATATATTTAAATTTTTTTTAATCTTTGGAGATATACGTGAATATCCAATTAATATACATAGATCCACTAATATGACAGTGCTGTACAATTGAAGCCAACATTCGAAAATATACCATGATTATTTCCATGTCTCCCAAAATAGTAAGTTACGTTTCACGTGACTCCCACCATATGGTTTTCCCAACAATTAATTTAACACATTGAAATCTCAACACTTTTTTAATTTTATTTTTTTATTAAAGGACGCACCACCCATGCATCATGCATGGCTAATCCGAGCAAAATTGAATGCAGTGCATAGCGTATTTTCATAAGTGATAAGTGATCTATTGATTAAGGTCATGAGTATCATTTCTCCATACATACATATAGAGAGAAAGAAACAACGCTAGCTTCACCAGAATTTATTGCAAAATAACATATATTTTTCTTTTTTTTTTCTTCTTTACTCCCAGCATATATATGTACCAAAAAGAAATACAAAGACAGGAGCAATCACATTTCTTATAATAATATTTCTGCGTTAACATTTCATTTCAAAAAGTAGTACTACTACAAGTCTACAACTAAAATGTGAAAAACATCATAAATGAAGCAATTAGGTCTTGCACTCAATTCTAATCCTACCTTTTTTGCTGCCTGGGCTGGTTGATTATTGGAGCTCTTTGAGATAAGATTTGGTTGTGTTCCAAATTCCAATCCTTTTCTCTTTCGTCACATTAACAAGTTGGACACTCAGTCCAGGTCTATTAACATCACCATCTAGTTGCAACTCATCATCAATACTTTGAATGCGATAACTAGGCTCAGTGTAAAACCAAAGAAAAAAAAATAGAAAACGAAATGTTAAATTAAAGTTTTATCTTCAAATTTATTTTATTGATATTTAGTCAATTGGAAGAAGTCTGTTGATCAGAATATTACTTGAGCTAGCTATAGGAATGCTTCATACAATATTTTTAGTTCTAATTGCTAAAAACAAATACCGTATATATGGATAATTGCTTGTAAGTTGTAACTTACAAGTTCCAACTTTCCAAGCGATATTTTGTTGGTTTCAATGTCACTTTTACAATATGAAAAGAAAAACTTATTCAAGAACAGACAAATAAATTAATCCTCCATGACCCTCTTTAATTAAACAATATTGAGACAAACAAAAGCTCTTTAAATGGGTAGTGCCATTGGCATTAACTCTATCAAAACTTTTAGTGTGGTACAGTCAAACCCCACCACGACCACCCAGACCCACAAAGTTTTCTTATCTGTCGTAGCTTTAAACGTTCAATTTTCCGTAACATAGATGGTTCCAAAGGCTGCCAGTGAAGCTCGTTATTTCTGAACCATATAAACCTTAATAAATACAGTCTGAAAAAAAGTACAAACTGCCTTTGTTTGTTGTCTGGTTTTAAAGGCAGATGTGTACCCTACAAAAACATTAAAAAAAAAAAAAAAGCCTTGGTGTCAACGGAAGGAGTTACTTGCGTAGCCAAAGCATGGGATTGAACCTACCCTCCATTACTCATTCTCTTGACTCTATCAACACCTTTTTCAATTCCTCCTACCATCACTTAACTCAATTCAATGCGGTCCAGACAACAAAAAAAAATAAATGTTAAACCTTAAAGCACATGTTTATGTTTTAAAAAATCTCAATTCACTCTCTCAAGTCTTTCACATCTGTTTGCATGTAGGATACAGTCTTTCACACACTTCAAAGAATTCTCATTTTTTTCGTGAATCTAAGAGAATGGTCCATACTTTAATTTCTACAGCTTTCTTCCTGCCTACTCAGTTCTTGATAACTATGAAAACTGATTCTTCATCGGTATATAAAAAAAAAAACTAATTTTGTTGACTTACGTTTATCCCTTTGGTTAAGGGATAAGATATAATCACAGTTTATAACACAAAATCTGTATAGATAAAGATACAATAATTTGTTGCAATTTGACCATAAACAACAGTAAAGGATTAAAATTATCAGTCTTTTAATCCGATAATTAAATATATCACCGTTGTTTTTCTAAAAAAATAGTGGGTCAATTTTCTTTCTTGTAAAGTACTACTCTTTTAACTTTTGTTGCTCATTTGCTGATAAGACTTTTTGATATGAACTTCAGCAACATATCAATGTCATTTTTCAAGAGTTGGCATAGAAGGAAAAATGAAATTCCAAACATTTCATGCCTCACCACTAAATGTAAAATTTTTAGCCAGTTTAATTAACTTCATGATTACTGAGAGTGATTTCCACAGTTATCGTGCCCAATATTTCAAACTTAAAGCAAAAGCAATGACCCTACCAAAAGCTCTTGTCTATTCTACTGATGCCAGACACCATTCAATTCTTCAAAATATTCATCTTTAGCATTGAAAAGAAAAGAAAAGGAAAGAAAAGAAGAGAAAAGAATAACAAAAGAAAAGAAAAAGGCAGTTACTTCTTCTTTTTCATTGTGGTTCCTAACAAAATAACGAAGTCACTGCAATTGCAAGCAACATTTTGGTTATTATCGCATCATCTTTTATCATCATCCTTATCAACCAACCATCTAAGGTCTACCAAGAAACAGGAAAAAGCAATAAAACAAACTAAAAATGAAAAACACTCCCGAATTTACAAAACCAAGAAAAAGATTATACTACTAATTAAAATCTATTTCTTCATGGTTTAGGGCGCCCTTGTTTGGCACATAGAAAACCATAAATCATTTTTATCTTTTTTGTTCTTTTTTATCTGTTACTAACAAGAATTCAAACCCTAAAACATCCGATGTGATGTTGATGATCAAGGGACTTTTCCCTATCAATCAAGCCCCGGACATTCCTAAACTCCTCTACATGACATGGGATTGTGATCGTACCCTTCTGATCGAACCCATACTCTTCCTCAGCTTCTTTCAACAGTTGCATGAACAAGGGGTGATTAAAGTATATAACAGGCACCACAAATCTCTGTTGCTCCTCTCCTTCTGATCCAACCTTGATAGCTAAACATCCTTTTGGCACATCCCTCGCTTGCTTCTTCCCATGATGATGATGAAGGTGTGGTAGGTGTAAATGAAAGCTCCTCAAACTTTTCTCTCCACTACCCATTTCTCCAACAATTACCCAAAAAAACCCCAAGAACAAGAACCCCAAAGGCAAAAACCCTACTTTCTTTAAAGAAAAAGAAAGTTACAAGGAAGAACAAGAAAAGGGCCAAGGGTCCTTTGCAATGGGTTGTTCGAAGATGGAGAGTGAAGAGTATTTGTGAGACTTAGGGACGTTGGGCATGGTTGATAATCCACACCAACATATAAACTCATACCAACCAGAAATTAGGGAAGATAAATATATAAAAATAAATAAATAAATATATATATATATATATATATATAAAGCTAAAGAAATTGATAGAAAGGGAATTGGTAGCACAGGGAGGAAAATGGGGTTTTTGTATGCTGCGGAAAACGCCAGTGTTTTCTTGCTTTTGTGTATAAAGTTGATTCCTAGACGTTAGATCTAAAGGGAATCCGATGATGATAAAAAGGGGAAGATAAGATTGATTAGTTTATCGTCGTAACGGACGAAAATGGGTAGAAAGAATGGCAAATTGTGTAATTAATGGGGAATCGAAGAGGTAAAACACGTGGATGGAGGTAGAGATGGATGTCGATTTTTTTTTTGGTTGCAAAGGAAGTTAAGTGTTCTTGCAAGAGGGAGAAGGGATGACGTGATCGAATTTATACCTACATAATTTTTAATTCGTCTCTTAATCACTGGGTTAAGAGGGAAAAGTCGAGGGATGTAGATTTTATAAAAGGGAATAGCCGACATACGACATGGTTAGGTGCAGACGTGTAGTTTTACAATGAGCAAAAAAGAAAAAAGATTGAGACAGCCAATAGCAGGTCTCGAACTTGTCTAAGTAAACATCAAAGAGTTGGTCTGGTCTAGTCAGCTTTGTGGTCTTGTGTAATTATCAAAGGACACTATGCCTTTTTATATCTCTACAATATGTCAATATCAAGTAATTTTTTAAAAATTTTTTTTACTTTGAAAAAAAAAAAGCAACCGTATTTAAAAAAATCTTGTGGTTTTAATTTTTCTTAATTGATTTATGGATTTCTAAATTCATTTTTGGTTGCCTGCTTTAAAAAAAAAAAAAGAAAAGTCTTAATTTGGTTTAAATATTTCATTAGAACTTTACTTAACGGAGTAATCTTTATATTCAAGTTCAAAAATAAATAAATAAATAATGGTAAACTTAAAAATAATGAGACATTAAAAAAATCAAGTTCATGCCAATGGATGCACAATATTTTTTTATTAATTTGATAAAATTAATAATTATTATTACATAATTTTTTAGATTCACCTATGACATGACATTATTTTAATAACATATTATAATATTTTATATTTATAAGTTAGAACTAAGTTGGAATAAATAGTTTATACTATAATTCTTAGCAGCAGTATTTTTTTTTTCCATAAAAAAGATTTTGTCAGATATAGTTTAATATGATGGGAAATTTTATCATTCCAAGAGAGGCATGCGGCAAAGCAATCTTTAATTCTTTCGCCCGTGACCGTTGGCCACTTGGGAATATCAAAAGCTCAAAATCGAAGGACAGTGGGGTCCCGGAGAGTACGTACTTGGCAGTTACAGTTAGAAATACCCCCAAAAAAGGTTAGTAAAGAGAGAAATTTTAAAATTTTATTAAACGTAAATGACCAAACTCTCCTTAATTTTCCCACTAAATTTATGAAGTGGTACCATCTACAATGGCTAATGGGACCCAAAATCTGGATGGTAAGATATGGTGTTGGATTGCATTGTGAACGCTGAAACAGTTAGCAAATGTGCCAATTTAAGAAAAGCACCAAGAAGTTTGTGACCCTCCGATGATCTGTAGCCAATCAGGGTCTAGATTGGATATTTAAGCATTGATGTAGAGGGTCCATTTAAGTTGGTGGGTCAGTAGCAGAGGATTTTTTTCCTATTTTTTGAGGTTAACATTTTAGTATGCTTATTTTTTTAATATGGTAATGCCAGATTTAACTTTTTAAGAAAACGAATGAGAGGGATTTATTAAGAACATTCATTTTTAATGCTTACTAATTATCAAAAAATAAAAGTAAGACAAGATGGAGTTAAAATTTTAAAATGCGATGTTTAAATTTATAAAATTTTTAAGAGAATGAGAAAAAATATTTAAGGAAAATGAAATAGAATAATAAAAATAAAATAGTTACGTGCTTTATAATATAAATTTTTATTTGATATATTATCAGTATATAAATTTTATACATTGTCAATGAATCAAACGATAACATCTTATTAATGAGTTAATTATTTTAATTTATATATATTTATTTTAAGAATTGATTTATATTTATTAATAAATTATCATCATCTGATTTATTATAATGTATAGAATCTATATACTGATAGAATATCAAATATAAATTTTTATAATATTTTATAAATTTTGTGAGGACGGGTCTATTTGAAAATTATGAGCAAGATCACAAATAAGAATTGATGATATGACTGCCAAAATATATATATAAAAAAAAACTGAATTTATCAAATAAAAAGATAATTCCATTTACCGTTAAATAAAATAAAATATTTGAATTTAGATGGTATAGTATACTAAAATTAGGTCAATGGGGTTGTAGTCTACACGCGGATTACCAGGTGCGACGCATTCGGCATGGTGCACACACCACTAGCAAAGGTCAAAAATTATTCCAAAATAATGATGCATTTTAGCACATGATTGCCTGCCCCATTGCCCGAATCAGAATTTGGTCTTTGGAGAAACAACGTGATCGATAGCAGAGTCCTAAATTATCTTTACTGGCCCAAACACTTTGACTTGCACTAACGTTTTGACTGAGAAATGAGAAATAAAATTAGTTTGACAATTTTAATCCTCAGGGAAATCATTGATTTTGTGAAACATATTGGTTCATTTTCTGTTCTAAATTGAATCAGGTGCGTTTTAAAGAGAGTTAATTTCAAAGTTATGGCTAGGCAGAAACAAGTTGTAGCCAATCCTTCCTTTCTTTTTTAAATTTTAAATTTTTAATTTTTTGGGAAAGAATAGTGAAGGTCATTTCCCTGGATTATTATAAGACTTGGTCTGTTTCAAAACCAGTGCTAATTGAAAGCAAAACATAAAAGTCGTTAACGTGGAACAAAGCGCAAAAATTAGTGTTGTCTATGTCTTGGAAAATTCTGTTGATGTTGAGATTTCATCATTAAAAAAGCACGAGAATATTTCTTTGATAGTTTTTTTTTTTTTTTAATAAAAAACTATGCATTCAGGAAGACTTATAACATTAGTGCTTTTCTGGATAATTTGAATCTTTCATAAAGTCTCCAATGGAATATTTCAAAGGAGATAATCTTTCAAGTTTATTTTGGAGTTTTTAATATTTTCAAATATGCTCATGATACAAAAATAGTAATGAAATATAGTTCAAATTTCCTAATGGAAGGCTACTTTTAATTGGTTTTCATAGTTTACACAAGTTTAATTCTCAAGGCATAAAAATGATTTAAGAATTTTATTGGATGAAAATTTGGATTGGTAATGGTGGTGAGAAAGATGCAAAGTCGAGAAGGAAGTGGGGGATGGAAACACCATCCAAAGTGGGGGAGTGAGTCCGGCTTGTTGAAGAAAGCAGAAGTTATTATTTAAAGATGTTTGTGCCTACTATTATTCTTCTCTTCCTCTTTTTTGGGGATATTCCTTGCTTCTATAAATATTTTTAAGAACATTAAATCCGAAATTTAATCCAAGTAATTAATTTTTTACTCTAAAAAATATATTAAGCATATTTAAAATTCAAATCTTATGTTTTTTTGCGGTTTATTGACACCATTTTTCAGTAAAAAAGATAAAAATAATCATGTGACTTGAACTCAATTATTTGATATATAAAATTTATAGAGATGTAGACAGTAAGGTGAAGGGTACAAATCACTACATACGGACATATGGAATTGCAGTCAATGGAATTTATAGGCAGATATTAGGAAAATGTCATTTAGGCAAAATGTATCCATCCCCTTACCTGCAGAGCACTTGTATCAAAACAACTTATTCATTATGACTCAGAATTTTTCCACAACTGTCTTTACACATAACCTTACGCTAAAAGATTTGCTCTTTGTAGCTTTACCGTCCAAAGATATGATTCCACTTCGGAATAGAGTTATTACGTTTGGGAAGGTTCTGAATTTATTTATGGGTTATGCACATCTTCCTCCCCACCACCCCAACTCACTCAGGTTGGGTCTGCGCCGTTGCCTAACACGGATTGGCTAGGCCGATGTCTGGTCTTGGTAGGAGAAAAGGGAGGCCCAATTTGTAAAGACAAGCTTGGACTCATTGATAGTGAACATCTATTAGGCTGTAGCCTAATGTTATCAGAAATGGCGCATCAGCAATCTCTGGTCATTTTTTCAAAATTTCTTGCTGCAAGAAAAGAAGGGGGAAAACAACGCATGAAAAGTTTGCAGTAAACAAAATTTTACTATTTCAGAAAGAAGAGTAGCGGCACTTTGTTGATTTGCATAAAACTTCTATGAACACAAAGGCTAAGAGAAGAAATGGAAGTGCAGTTTTAGGATGTCTGTTATTGTTTAACTCATTTTAGTTTATTAACTAGAATATACTGCATTGTTTACTTACTCGTACTACAAATTTCGGAAACCAAATTAACTCCAGTTTGTCGAAGGTAGTTTTGTCTGAAAAGGCTGCAATATAATCTGGAGAAATCAAAGGTGAATCTTCCTTTCTCCGTTGGATTTTTAGGAAGTCGATTACTAGAATAAGCATTTGTGTGATTTGACACTCACAACATTGGCAAATGCAAAAGAATCCTTTTTATGACAAAAACAATCATGAAGAAAGATTTCTTTGCAGAACTAGAAGATGGGTTGACAGCAGTTGCTGAAGTCCGAACTTTGCGAGCTTTGCTAATTGGTGTTGCCAGATTTATGACAGGATAGAAGGGAAAACTAAATGGTGAACTGGTTTTATCCATTTGATCATTGAAACCTAGCTCCAAATCTGGTGGTAACCAAATGCTATCATTTCTTTAACGTATGTATGGTCCATTCAAATCTGAATTTATGAATAAGCAATGGCTAGAGGATAGAAGATAAAAAGTAAAATCCCAATTGGCAATAATGTGCTATAAGAATTGAAGACCAAGATATAATTAAGCCAGGGAAGTAAGTGAGCTGAAAGGAACAAGACACTAGAACTTGAAACCCCAAATCTAGAAGCCGTTGTTGCTGATGAGCTATTGCCACTAACTATATATCATTGCCAGCGAGCAAGGTTTTAAATAGTGCTCGCAACGCGATATAACGGCTGTTATTTAGCGATAGTGTCGCCTACCGCTTTCGTTATTTATCCACGATGGGGCGTGATTAACAATTACACCTATAATGGTTGTTTGCGGCCATAAATAGCTGCATAATAAAAAAAAAAGGGTTATAACGGGACATTAAAGCTGTTATTTATATTTCTTTTCATTAAATAAAATGAATACACATTCCAAAATAATAAGAAGACCATGCCCAAAGTCTAAATTATTTAGTCAAATTTAAGTCCCAATCAAAATAATCATAACAAAGACAATATAATGATAAAACTCTAGTAAAGGAACCAACTTTCAAACTGTCAAACCCATTTTGCCACCCTATGGGATCTTTGAGTTTAACAACTTAAGAACTATGTGATCCCATAAAATAATTGCAAATAGCTCTCAAATCAATTTAATGGAAAGGAGAGAGTTGAAATTGCTTGAGAGAAATACAAGGAGTTTGGATAAGGTCATGGGTGACTTTGTTTTAGAATGAAAAAGCCAAGTGAACAAAGAGGGAAAGACAAGAGGGAAGTTGACGTCAAATATAAATTGGTTTTTATTTTTTATTTTGGTCATCTATTTTTTTACTTTTTGGGAAATTGGTATTTGAAATTTTTTTATGATTTGGATAAAAATTTAATAGAGTTGTTAGTTGCTAAATAGTGAATTTAATTTTTTATTATCTAAAATATAATTTTATAATAAAAATTTAATATTATTAAGTATATTTATTATTAATTTTTTTATAGCTAATATTTTTAGATAAGAAGTCTTAGAACAAAAGTAAATAATGAGAAATACGTTTTTGGAAATGTTTTAAAGGTTTTAAATTTTAGAAAAAAATTTTGAAAGAAAATGAGAGATGACATGTACAAGTGTTTTTACATGTATCTATACCATTTTAATCCATTTACCTTAATAATTATACTTAAAAATATTTAAATGTTAATTATTATTCTTTTTTATTAGATTAATTTATAATATTAATTTCATAATGATAATTTGTCATAAATTATATCTATTTATAGCATTTATATAGACAAAATTCATGGATATATTAATTATCAACATTTTAGATATGTATATTGATTTATAACTAAAACTAAAAAATGTAAAATATTTATTTTAATATATAAATTAAAGAATTAAAAAATTATAAATTACTTTAAATATAATAAGCATGTTTATAATTATTATTTATTTTTATTTTATAATAAATTGTTTAAAATTAAAAAAAATTCATAATCGTGATGAATATGATTATCATTATTTTATCCGTTATGTTTGTAATTATAATCAATGCGACGTGATTGAAAACGTGACAATGACTGCAATTTAAATCTCTATCAGTGAGTCACTATTATCACCATCCGGCTTTGAGGAGAAAAGAGAAAAAGAAAAAATAAAAAAAGCCCAAATAGGGAAATAGTAAATACTAAATAAAGAGGGGTGGGGGAGAAAGATTGGCAGCTAAAAGAAGGAAACTGAAAAGAACAAAACAAGAACTACCGTAATAATACTTTCTATTTGAGTGAAATTGTGTTAAAAACTTAAAATGCTTTTTCTTTGTTCGGGGTTGGAAGAAATAAGTTAAATTATGTATAAAATTGATCCAATTAATAGAACCATGATTCTTAAATATAGAATCCAAATCATTGTGTGAGATCGCATGAATTATACTTATTCTTACTATATTTTCCTCGATTTTTCCATCAACAACGTATTGGAAAACAGTTCCATCAAACAGATTGGCATTAGCATTAATGGCACTCAAAACATGAGTTCAAATCATGGGCCCCTCTAACTGATGGGGAAGCAGATAACAGCCCTGAAAAAGTTTGCTAAGATGAAATTAAGCCAAGATATGTTTAGTGGTAAAGTTAAAATTTTAATGTGCGATCATCAATTCAATTATAAGTACTAGAATGTAACCACATGCCAGGAGTAACTGTTTAGGTGCTCAACATCATGTTCGAAGTGCATTAACCACGTATAGGAAAACAGTTCCTTCAAACAGATTGGCACCGCAATGCTGGCACTCGACATGGGTACAAATCATCGGCCCTTCCAGTTGATGGGGAAGTAGATAGTAGCAACATTGAAAATTTTTGCTAAGATGAAATGAAGCCATGACTGCAGTGAATCTCGGGATATGTTTATAAGTTAAAACATTAATGTCTACATTGCAATCTTAGATACTACTAGTACTATTTATGTACTTAAAAATCCTGTGTAAAAACTCAAAAAACTCCAAAGTCTTGGTCAAGTATACACAAAACACACCAATCATTCACGGGGAAATTCCTGTGGCCTCAAGGCTTCAAGAATTCATCAAACACGGCCCCAATAAACATCTTTTCTCTCTCTAAAAAACAAGGGTGCTAAAAGCTAGCCTCGAAAACAAGAATTCAAAGCAAAGCAGAAAGTGTTTTACTTTATTGTTTGGCAAAGGTCAAAAAGATCCAATTCCCCAAAAGGTAGTTCTTTAGGGGACATCATTTCATACGAGTGCTTTTTCAACAAAATGAATAAAAAAATAATTAAGAAAAAAGAGAGAAAAAGAAAAGGATAACTATCCAAATCCAGTGATTCAAACTATAGAAATCAGGAATATTAATGTTTGTGATAGTCTCAACGTACAAATGCACATACAAGTAATACAAGTATTAAAAAAAAAAAACTGCCATTTGTTTCCTAGATTCCTAACCAGGATTTTAATACACAAACTTTCACCGCTCAAAGCACTAGAAGTACTCCATTGCTAATCTTTCGGCTGAGCTTGTAAAAAGTAAGGTGATTGTTGGTCAATGTAGGGGTTGTGGGAAGGACAAAGGGAGCGGAGGATTTTAGATGATAAATGCCGGTGTGACAATCTAGTGGGATACGTGTTACCTAAGGCCTATAGGCCTATATAAACTCTTCTCTGCCAATCTTTCTAATCAACTGTTTCTTCATGTGTTCTGTTCTCACCATCCATGAGTAAAGCAAGAGCAAATTATGGAAAACGTATGATGGGAAATGAAAACAATAGTAAAATTTTACGCCTCGTTCTGATCGCAAATTCCCTAAAATGTACTGAAGAAGCACAAACATTGGGAAAAGCTCCCTTCAAACGATAGTTACTTGTTAATTAAAGCATGTGCTTTACTGCAGAAAGCTCCTTAAACCTGTTGTAGGAAACACAAAATAAGTAACCACACATCTGAATCCCTGGAGGTGAACTGATCACTCTTGAAAGCCCAGGAGGAGAGAAGAAAGCATTTGATGGAACAATTAAGGGTGTTATTTTACTAAATTTCAACACTCAACATTGACATCATGATGATCAAATTTAGGGTTTTAGATAAGATGTTATGACAAAGCCAAGGCATGTGGGTTTCCTTTAATCAGACCCATATCTGTGCCCACACTTCCATTGGCACGGCTCTTACTGGCACAGCTCTTACTTGCACAAGCTGTCATTGTCCTATGCTCTAGCTCAACAAGACATGTAATTTTTACAGTGAAAGGTCCATTATTCACTCCCAATAACACAAGCTAGGTAGCTAGAGAGAAACTAAAAATAGAATAAATATAACTGAGATATTCAAAATTATTCCTGCATCATATTAAAATCAAGACTTAATACATTTCCTTCACCATGCAAAGCAGGTAAGAGATAATACAGATCTAATTAGTATACATAAGTGAAGAAGAAAGCTGATAAAGAGCCATGTGTGCATATATGAGTAAAGGCCATTTATGTTAATACCTACACAGAAAATCAAACATCCCCTCAGAATTGAATTTAGTAACTCCTCATTGCAAGAAATCTTATTTAATGGAATTTTCAACTGTAGTTAAAGAAAGGACAAGTCTTTCTTTTCCGTTTACCTTTGTTTCGTCACTCAGGCCAAGCTTTATTCAAAAGGATTCATTTTGGGTGAAGAGCCAAGCTCTCCACCCTGAAACCCTAGAGAGATGGAAAAAGAAGGAAGAAAGGGGTAGAGTTAAAAAGTAGGGATAAATGTTTACCAAAGATCAAAGCCAGATCTGAAAACAGCAGAAGCAGACAGATCAGATACAGGAAGCCATCATGGGAAAGATCTGCCTAATGATGAACCAGAAAGGAGGGTTAGGACTGACAAAAAAAAAATCGTAGCACCGCAGAAAAAGGAAAAACAAATAAAGAGTAATGATGAAACTTTTATGCAGATGATGAAAATAAAATTGGTCAAAAGCCTTCATCATTACACCAATCTGCACATAACTAACAACCTTAATTGCTCTAAAAACAAAATACCCAATGATCTAAAACCACCAAATTTTCCCAAAAGAGGAAACAAATAACGCCCAAAAGAATCATTAAAGCTGAAAACCCAAACCTTTACATGCTGCAGTTCATGATCTAGAATCTAGCCTTTGCTTCGCAGTTCCATATGGGAGCAATAATTGGGGGGAATGAAGCCTGGTCCGACGACACTGGCATAATTTCAATCCATTACAACAATAAGCAGACCCATAGAAGCAAACTAATGCAAGAAAATGGACTAAAAGAAATGTCCTCGAGCCAGACAACATTCCCCTCAAAAGAGCAGCTCCCTTGGAACATCCCAATTAGAACTATCTTCAACGAGACTTTTCTCATGAATTGTTGGTTTGACAAGAAAGTTTCTCTGATTCTCTTATATATTTATCTCCCAAGAGTCTCGCCTGTCTTCAAGGGGGACTGAGACAGAGAAAGAGAGACAGAGACAGGGAAAGAGAGATAGAGAGAGATGGGAGAGTGGTGGTGTTGGGTGATAATGAGATGATGAAGAGAATGATATGGATGAAGTGGGGTTTTTAAGATGAGTAAAAAGAGTGGAAAGCCAACGTTAAAAAAGACAAAATATAGCTGCAGACTCGACCCTACCAGCTGTTTTCTCAGTTCCAGAAATGACCACGACCCCATGCATCTAATAATCTCTCTCTCTCTCTCTCCTACTCTATATCAATTCACCTTTTTCTTTTCTCTCTATACATTGGGTGTTATCCGTATGTATCAGAAACCATGTTTTAAACCTTTATCGACCGTTGGATTCCTTTGATGATTATGATGTTAAACTTCTCGTTCAAGCAAAGTTGACTGAGAAATGAGTGCATTATTGGAGTAAAACCCACCGTTTGATTTAGGGGCATGATGTTTGATGGTGTCATCAAGCATAATAAAAAAAAAACTACTGAGATTGCACTGTCCATTCGGTTTATATAGCCTAGAAATCCAGACCCTTAAAGAACCGTAGGATTTGTGAGATTTTTGAAGAATGAATGATGTTAAAAAGACTGTACTACCATAAAAATATAATGATGACATAAATAATTGAATAGAAAAGGAATCAAAGTAAAGGAAGGCCTAAAAGTGAGTCAGAGGAGTGGTTGAGTTATTGAGCTGCCCCATAATGGAAAATACATTTAATATCTCACACCTTTTAGCATTGAATTAAAAAAAAAATTTATAGTAATTGAATTTTTTAACCCAGAAATACTAAAAAAAAATGATAAATTTATTATACAAGATTTGAAAAATGTTACATTTTTGTTTTTTTATGAAACAAGGGATTCTCGTTCGACGTGTCATTTTTAAAAATGACAAAGAATTTGAGGTGATAACCGATAGATAAAAATAAGGGTCCACGCTTTTCTTTTCACCTTTTAACTTTTTACTCAACCCAGCTATTTCGCTAAGGTCAAAGTGACCAAGTCGTCTTTTGCTTTTTGATTATTCCCTTTGGTTAACTTTAGGGCATTAATTAGAAATTAAAAACAAAGAAATCAGACATTCAAAGAATCATAATGCTGATTAATGGTGACATAAGTAAATTGCTTTGGCTTCCAAAACCTTTTTGGTAAATTAATGATTATAACTTAAAAACTATATTGTTTCCCAAAACAAAAACAGGGTCGTTGAAGTTCATTAATTCGAAATTTATAAAAATAATAATAATAATAACACTACTGGTTAGCATTAGATTAAAATTGGCAAAATCAAAATGTTCATAAATCCACCGGCAGAGTTGTTGCATTCGTGATTCATGTGATAATCATTGATACGATACAAAAAGGAGTTGTCAGCGTGCACCGATGTTGTCTTCCCTCAAGGAAAAGGTATTAGCTTATGGCTACAACATACCATGCATGAGAGAGGCTCCAATTAACCTTGTAGAAGAAAATTTTGGCATATAACAAGTACTTTTGCTGTTGTCCCCATATCTGTGCTATGGAAACAAAACAGATGGACATGCATTCAAAATATTTAATTAACCTTAGCAAGAAACATACTCCTACTAGTATTACATTTTGTTACTTTGGTAAGAAATAGTGGCCTTCATCATGAGATTATGATGTCTTTGGATTCTTGGAAAACATACATTTTGTGGGTGTCAGGATAAAGACTTAGCGAAACCAGTATCATTCGGCAGTACAGGTAGCTCCGCGAATTTAATGGGTTTGATTTTCATTTCTGCCATTGTTTCTCTGGCACCCCCATTTCATCAATCTCTTTCATTCCTCCGTCCCATAAAAAAACTGGTAACCTAAATTAGGTAAAGTTTGACAAAATACCAACGCAATTATCCGAAAAGATGCCTCGTTCTTCTAAGATTTTGAAATCCAATGTGATTATTCAAATGATAAATATAAGAACCAAATGTCCGAACATTAATCACAAGTTCCAGTCATTGTTTTGCACATACATCTGAGCCAATTCATATTTGGGGTAGTAAATTCGAATGTGTTGGTGCATATTTGAAACTTTGAAGCTGAAGAGCCGAGAAGGGGGGTACTGTGGTTTAGGGTGGTGAACATAGAAAGCTTTATTGTCATTACACTGCAACTTGCTGCTGCTCCTCCATTTACTGTTCCCTTTGCAGAGTTTTATGAAACACTGCTCCCATTATTAATAATCAATGTAATTGTGGAAAATCTAGCTGGCAAAGTGACAGTAATGTTTCTTTGAACATTTCCATATGTCAACTAAATTCCACGTGCACCTAATCCATGAAAATACAAATTCGGAATTAACTAATCTCTGAAAAACAGTAAGTATATTAATTGTAATGTTTATGATTTTTATAAAATGTAATGTGAATTTAAACAGAGCTAAAAAAAAAAAAGAACCCAAAAATTAGTAGCAGATCTTATAGTAGAATTGTTGTATTAACGGTAATTTGAAGCTGATGGGATGATAACAGAGTTGGTGCGTTGATTGAACACTATCGGCCTTGTTTTTTATTTAATGGGAGTGCCCGGAAGACGTGCTGCCATGCTTTATCTCCTCCACAGGACCACAGCAAAGGCTCCTCCATTTTCTCTCTCTTTTCTCTCAACTGTACATCAGAGTGACAAACGGAGAGGACGATACTGGCTCCAGATTTCAACGCTTTACAGTCTTGAAAATTGTGTCAGGGAGGTGTGGAGAGAGAGAGAAAGTGGGAAAGAAACAACACGTAAAATGTCAAATCCTGCATCTCCAGCCCAGGTTGTCGAGTCTTCAATTATATAATAATAGTAATAATATAATATAATATAATCATCATCATCACCAATGACCCTTTGCAATGCATGAATTTTTCATTACAAAACCAAACAAAAATTTATAATTAAAAACAAAAAAGAAATTCAAGGGTACCTTTTTTCTCGCTGGCTTTAGCTTAGGTTTGATTTCTAGTTTCTACCAACACTCCCACCTGGCTGGCTTAACATGTTTCACTCCTCTCCATATGGATGGTCACGTGCTCTTGCTCTCTCTTTCTGAGTCCTACGCCATTGAGAAAAGGTTAAGTAAGAGAGGAGCAGTTGAAAAAGGGTGGTAAAGTTTAAGCAAACTTTAGGAGATTTTCGCTACTCGAAGTCAATTTGGTGTCTGAATCGAGAAAAGGGAGATACTCTATAAAGCAAAACCAACGTACAAAGGAAAGGGAGAGCTTACGTGGGTTGAATTGTAGAAATTTCATCGGTAGACAAAAGTATTTTCAGTCTTCTCTTACACCACTCTCGCCCCTATAACTTGAAAAAAAAAAAAAGAAAGAAAAATCTTTCCCGGTTTAAGTACTGACTTACTGCTACTATTAAAAAAGATTGTACTACCCTAAGAATTTAGTATTTTGAAATTACGCCTTCTCCCCTAAGTCAATTTACTTCCCCTGTAGTCTGTAGCATTGTAATTAGTGAAAGTTGTGAGTACATAAAGACCTCTCTGTTTGTTTTGTTTTGTTTTCTTCTCTTTATTTTCTTCCCCTCTGCCTGCACTGCCAGCATCCAGCTCATGACCCTTTTCCTTGCGTTCCTCCTCTTGGTTTCCAGCCTACCCGCAGTATCTCCCCCCTTCCCCCTACTCTACTTTCGTTTGAAAAAAATAATACAAAAGAAAGAAAGTTTTTATTGACTCATATTCAAAAATTAGATTAAAACACACAATGAAGTAACTAATTCGCTGCTCAGAATCATGCCTTGGAAATGTGGAGAAAATAAGCTAAGATCATACCTAAATCAAGTACATGGTATAGAATGATTTAAAGGTTAATTTTTCATACCCAAAAGTAAAAGGGTTGAATAAGGATCAATAGTAGATCAAGTATGTTGGAAGTCTGAGTTAGATGGAGCAATAACAACCAATCAGAGTTTGCCAAAGGTAGTAGTAATAATAGTTGAAATGGATTCTTGGGATTGAATTAATGAATGTTCAGCTTTTTTATTTTCAATTAAAACTAGTTTTTTGAACTTGGAGAAAGGATACAAAATTTTAATGTGAAGAAATTTTCAGATCTAAAGCTATGGTTTTGGTAGGAATAAATTGCAAGATTTGAAAATTTTAACAAAGAAATGGTTGGTAGGATTAAGTGGTTAAATTCGGATCAATTATAGAAAAAATATGCTTAAACTCGGAGTTAAATAGAGCAAGAAAAACCAAACACCATGAGTTTGCTAAAAGAGGTCGTAGTAATTAATAAACAATAAATTTTTTATTTTATTTTATTTTTTCTCTCTTTTTCGATTTCTATCCCACTTTCAAGATATACCCGTTTAATGATCCATGAGTTCCAACCCATATTTTTCTAATGGCCCAAAAACCAACATGGATAAATTTGGGCAACTTCTAGCCATTCTAAATGGTAAGCCTATGGACTTTGCCTTGCTCAATCTTTGCCCAAAGGGTAGACAGGGAAAAGTAGCCTATATCCATTATCCATTATCCAGCCCACAGCCACCGCCGTGAATGTCATCCAAGCCGACAGGAAGTAATACTTATCGTCGGATGCATTACTCATTTATGACCAAAGACACGTTCAACGAACTTTCACACCACGTAAAACTTCCTTAAACTAAAAGCGACAAAACTACTGGACTATGACAGCAATGTAATCCTTTCTATCTTTCCCATATCCAGGCTTAAGTCTATCCACAAACCAAAAAACTAAATTGGACGTGTTCTATAAGACAAGGTCAGCCCCATCCCACTAATTTTCAGCCGTCTTTGCTGGACCTTTAATGTGGCAAAAAGTGGCAGCTTCTTCACATAAGTGTAACTCCCTTGACCGTTTAACATCTGCTCTTTAACTCGATTTTGATATACTCTTTAACTTTGCCACTTTAAGTTTATAGATTGGTTCATTGTATTAATCTTACCCAGACGGAACAAAATGGTACTAATCAAGCAATGAGAGTCTCGCCTAATACAAATAAAATTTCAAGTCCTTATCAAATACAGTCTTCATCACTATGTTACCACAGTGACCCTTTCTTTTTTTTCCCTTTTATTTTATCTAGTTTTAAAATATTTAATCGATAAAACTTCATTAAAGAGTTTTTGCTTTTTTAAAGCTAGGTTGAATTTTGATAAGGGTGAGGTCATAGCTACTTAAAGCATATATATAATAAAGGAGGAATTGAAGGCTCAAGCATCCAATCTGCAGCGTCCAATTGTTGATACATTCAATAACTTGAGAGAATTATTTGCAAGTTAAAATCTAGACGATGTTTCGGGGCAAAAACTTCATTAGCAACATTTCCTTAATATGTATATATATATTTAATATAATATAATATGAACACTATCCTAACATTTGTGGGGCACTTTAAATGTCTTTGTCTTATTGGCTCTCAATTAAAATCTCATGCACCTAAATTGATATAAACTAAAAATAAATGTTTATTTCTAAAATTCTACATTAATTTTGTTTTTTTTTTTTTGTTAGCTTTGGAAATTAATAAAGAAAAACCCATATTCTTCTAGCTTGTTGTTGGTACTTCGATTTCTTCTTGATTGAGTCTTGATTATTTAAGGCACAAAATAATGGTCTTAAAAAGGAACAAAATTGTTGCTGCATACCACGTGGCTAGCCGACAGGGGCGTAAGAGAAAGCAAATTGAGACAGACACCTGTACTTGGAAAGCTTTGTCTGTCCTCACAGGCAGATTCTCAATAAGCTACGATATTGAACAAAACTTGGGCACGTGTCCGCTATATCAAACCAATCTTTTCCAACGTTGAACCACAAGTTTCTCGACACGTAACCGCCGCAACTAAAACTCCAAACAAAAAGACGACATAGGGGGATATGAAGTTTTGACCGATGGTAGGTGGCAAGTGTTGATTGGATGACTTGTGACAGGTGAAAGACACTTGTCCGCAGGCAACTGTTTTTATTGGCAAAGAATGTATGTTGTAGGAGTATTTCATCGAATTTCTTTGATTTATTTAACTGTTTCTCTTAAATAAAGGAAAGGGTTTTCAAAACTTATTATTATTTTTTATATAAATCAAAGTTGAGGCCATTGAGACTGCGCCTTTGACAGCGACTCAACGCACCCACTCTCCTCGCTCGAGCTGGTTTTATCAATGGCTTAGCTGGGGACTAAAGCTTCCACTATATGAAGAGGAAGATGAAAGAACTGATGTGGTGAAGGAACTTCTAAGCAATATGGAATTGGCCAATAAATGTGTGGAAAACGAAAATGATGATCATGGCATGTTTCTCCAAGAAACAAGGAAATATGTTGGTTGTAATTATAAAATTAAAGATGGAATTTGATTTCAATTGGTGGAACGTGATTCATGCAGCCGACACGTTATGATTAAAAACAAGGCTAGATGAAGTTGTGACGATGATGATGATGATGAGAACATGGATTTTAATATTTGCACCATGAAGTATACAGAATTGGAAATCTCTAAAATGTGAAGTGATACCAACGCATGATTAAAATTACTACTAGATAATACGCTCGCCCCAAGGGCTAAGAAACGGGACGGCTTGGACTTGATGCCGACATCAACCCTTTTTTTTTTTTCTCACACCTAGACTTACCCTCGGGTTAATCGAAGAAAAGATTCAGCAAAAAGTTGGTAATGTTAACAAGGCGGAAGAGGGAGAGAACTATACGTTATCACTAATCCGATCCCATAGAGTAATTGGGGATATAAAGCAGGGGTAGCAGCAGCTATAAATCCAGTCAGACCCAAAACCAAGCCAGATACTTTGGTTGCATAAGGGGTTATAAATACAAGCATATTCAGAAGCACAAACGTCTAAAAACATTCCCTTTTTGACCACTGTTTAGTAGTAGGAGTACTTACCAGCTTGTATATGAAGGACAAAGATTTTCAGAAGGTTAAGAAGAGTAATCCTGGGAAAGTGTTAGATGGGGAAGAATATACTCAGGAGATCATGGCAGAGCCTTTTTCCAGCTTGACTGAAGTTGTAACAACCAAAAAGAAGAGCAAGAACAAGAGGAGGTTCAGTGATGAACAAATCAAATCTTTGGAATTGATGTTTGAATCCGAATCCAGACTTGAGCCTCGGAAGAAGTTGCAGGTGGCTAGAGATTTGGGGTTGCAGCCAAGGCAGGTTGCTATATGGTTCCAGAACAAGAGAGCTAGGTGGAAATCAAAGCAGCTCGAGCGAGATTACGGCATTCTACAAGCCGATTACAAAAATCTAGCTTCCAAATTCGATAGTCTAAAGAAAGAAAAGCAGGCCTTAGTGATTCAGGTACTTAACTACTAACTTAATCTACTAGTTCGCATACAAAGAAAGAAATTAAACTTTGTAAAGACTCTAACAAATATACTTTTTATTCTTAATTAATAGTTGCAGAAGCTGAACGATTTGCTTAAGAAGCCAAAAGAGGAAGGCCAGCGTTGCGGACAAGGCATCGATGGAGACTCAGATAAGGGAGAGGCTGTCAAGTCTGATTCTGAAGGACAGGTCAGTTTGTCAATGGAAAGATCGGAACATGCGCTTGGAGTCCTATCGGATGATGATAGTGCAATAAAGACAGACTATTTTGGACTGGAAGAAGAGCCCAACCTTATAAGCATGGTGGAACCAGCTGATGGTTCTCTAACATCTCCAGAAGATTGGCGCAGTTTTGACTCTGCTGGTCTCTTTGATCAGTCCAGTAGTGGTTATCAGTGGTGGGATTTTTGGTCTTGAACAAATGAAATAACAAGTATGGAGGAAAATGTATGCAAATAATCTTCCTTCTGTACATAACCCAAGAGGATGTTGGGGCAAACCACCAATTAGGGGAAATAGGAGAGGGGAACACTTGAATATGCATCATTGAATTTAGATGAAGAGAACTAGGATTTTACGGTCCGAGAACAGATGAATTCAAGTTATCCTGTGTCTGAAATCTAACTTTAGCTTCCCTGGTATGTACCACTTCGGCCAGGCGATAGAATTGGAGTTCACTACTGTTTGCTCTGATATCATGGGCAGGTAAGGCCTAGGAGGCTACCATATAGATCTTCTGTATGCTGAATGATGGAATTGAACAATATGTGTATATGTTTGCGTTTGAGACTGGGAGTGTGAGAAAGGTTGAACAAGTAGTTTACTCAAACCAGACCTGTACCATTTCCAATGCTAATTCAGGTAGAACTTTAAAAAGTAGCAAGTTTTCGAAAAAATGATATCCAAATCATTTCTTTAATTTTCTTTCTTCTTGTTGTTTTATTGGTGTCTTTGTTGTTGTTTGCACAATTGTTTCATCCTGCAAGAGATTCAATGGTTGGGCAATAAGGAAAAATAATTATTATTAAAGTATAAGTAGTTTTGTTGAACGGATGCCAAGTAGCTTACCCGTATGATTTCATAATCTTCAAATGCAGAGTTCATTAAGTCATGCTTTGTTTATAGCAGAAAAGCTTCCCCTGTCGTCTCTAAAACTAAAACAGGATATATAAATGCAACAATTAATGTGAAATTAACAGCTACGGAGCAAGTTTTGAATTATAAGAATCATAAAGTGTAAATAAACTGAATCATTAGAGTCTTTTCTTTTTTCTGGCTGACCTGATCACAGCCAAAATGCAACAATTAATGTGAAATTAACAGCTGTGGAGCAAATTTTGAATTGATTTAAAAAAATCTCTTTACCTGAAAATCCAGATTTTTCCCATAATGTCATTGTCATAGTATTATCTAATTTTCCAGACAAATGTAGGCCATTATTGCACCTGAAGAAACAACTTGTGACAGAAAGAAAATGAGAAAACATTCAGTATCGACAAGCACATCCAAATTAAGTAGTATTTAGCATTACACTACAACCTTCGGCAATATTCTAGACAAAGGATGTTCTCAAAGAACTGGAACTCCAAAACAATCACTGGATGGAAGCTTGTTAAAAACAAAAGACACTTCAAACTTGCAGCAAATATCAAATTGTGAAATTTTTCTTCTTTGCATTTAACTGGAACAGCAAGCTTCTTTGTCGTTCCAATAGTAGAAGCAATGGTTTCACAAATTCTCTTTTCTCTTTTTGATTGAAAAAGCCTTTCGAAAAAAGATCAAACAAAAGCACAGTTTTCTAGTACTAGCACAAACAAAGCAGACCATGGCAAACGAGAAATTTAATATCAAATGTTACTTGAACAAAAATCAAGCAAAGCTTGACCACACTGTAACAATTACAGCGGGAGAAGCTATAACTTTGTCAGAATGCCCAGTCAAGCTCCCCTATGAGATGAATCCAGCTGTTCAGGAATGTGCTAAGTTGACAGTCAAAGGAATCTTAAAATGAAAGTTTAACCAAAAACATGATCAGTTAATGACTTATATAGGGCAAAATATATATATAATAAACTACCTGTAATGTGAGGTTACTAATTATATGAAGTATCAATAAACTTGTAACTGCACAAAGAGCTACTAACACCTCGTATCAGTATCAAGGCCTAAGCTTTTTTCTATGTGTAAAGTTTTCAGGACTCTTTACCATTGGAATTGACCCAATATCATATGATTTTTGACGTACACCATTCAAATTAAAAAAAAAAACAAACATCAAATAAAGATAAAATCTGTTTTCTTTCTTTCTTTCTTGGTAACCAAACAAATTAAATAGTGAAAAAACGGAAACCCAATCTTAGATCAGATTTTGTATATCTATGAGTGAATTCTACAATAAATATAGCAACTTATGTATGAAAGGAGAACAGATTTTTTTCATTTTCTTCCCAACGGTGTGTGTTGAAGGGGCAATTATTGAATTGGAGGGATTTAAACGAGGCCTGGGATTCAAACGAGGCCTGGGATTTTTTTTGTTTATGTTTTGGGTGATGGGGACCTTACATGATGATTTCTGGGAGGACTTATTGGGCTCCGTACACCATTTAGACAGTTGTTAAACGGCCCAGTTTACTTGAGTTTTCCGAAGTTTGATTATTTTTAAAAAGCATTTTTAAATAATTAAACATTAATTTTCACACATTTACAATAATTAGTATTCTTTTAAACACTTTGATTTACTATCAAATACCTAGAGTGCCTAGTTCTTGCAACAAGTTCACAACTGAAAATTAAAAGGTTAAAATACCAAAAAAAAATTTTATTTTTATTACATTCAAATACATTTTTATTCTTTAATTTATATTTAAATAAAAAATTTATTTATGTTAATGAATTATTTAAGTATAAATTAAAAGGTAAGAGTTTATTTCGATATAAATTAAAAGTTAAAGATTTATTTATTTAAAATTAAAAATTAAAAATTATTTGAATGTAATAAAAATATAAAAATTTATTTAAGTAAGATATTAAAATTTAAAGATTTTTTTTATTATTTTAGCTAATAGTCACTAATTTGGGTTGGACCCTAATTAAAAAGTTTGAAAAGTATGGCTCAACTTGACTCGAGGAACAAAACGCTGCACTTTTTGCCCGTCTATTTCTCAACCGAAAAGCTCTCAGAAAAATTGCATTTTGAAGTTTCACTCGCATAGTCCAGTCCAGTCCAGTCCAGTCCAGTCCATTGTCTCCCTCTCTGTTTCTGAAAAGAAAGGGGAAGAAAAGAGTGATGAACGACCTCTCTAATGCAGCTGCAAGAGAGCATCAAAGTAGCTACAGTTGCAAACCCATACCAAGCTTAGCTCTTTACATTCTTGCTTCACTTTTCTTCATTGGTCTCTCTGTCTCCATTTTCATTCTTGTTGTGGTCCACAACGCTGCTTTTCTACTCTCTTTCCTTTTTCTCTTTGCTTTGGTTGCTTCTTTCTTGGCTTGGAATGCTGTTAACTGGAGACATCAAAACAAAGCTGCTTTCGCTTTCTTTCTTAACTCTTTCCCTGACTCTGATCTTCGACTCGCACGTGAAGGACAGCTTGTTAAGATCACTGGGGTACTTTCATATACCCTTTCCAAAGTTTCGTTTTTTACTGTCTTTTGTTTGTTATAAATTCTGGGTTTCTTGTAAATTTTCGTGGGATCCATTTGTTTTTGATAATTTGTGGAGCATTAAGCACTTGGGTTGTGGCAAACAGAAAATTAAAATGTGATTTGTCTGTGTTGTGTAAAGGTGATGGTTTTGGTGATTTAATCTGTTTTTTGTTCAAAAAGTTCTTTTTCCCCATTTTATGATAATAATGGATCATAACTTTTATAAATTCAGTTGGTTGCTGACTGGTGAGATTAATGTGCAATAATTAGTAGTAGTTATTTTTCAGCTCAATATCCGGTTGCTCTTTCTTTCTTTCTTTTTTAACTACTACCTGTTTTTTTTCACTTTTGAATAGTTCGATAATTAGAGCTTCATGAAAATGTACTGATTTGCTTGATGTTTGTGGAGTTTAAAATGATTATGTACTTTCATATCAATCCGTCTGTGACTGATTCCTGTTTTTTTTTTTTTTAATAATTATTTTCCGTGATTTTTTGTTTCTCTTTCGTTATTGATCATTTCAGGTAGCATCATGTGGGAGTCTCTCATTAGAAACTTCATATGAAAGGGTTGCCAGATGTATCTATGCATCAACTCTTTTGTATGAATACGGACAATTTGGTCTGAAGCGGGTTAATGTTAACAGATCTTGCTTTCAATGGAACCTAGCATATTATGAGGTATGTAAGTCATTTCACTGAAGTAGTGGACTTCTGTCAGCCATAATTCTAAGAACATGTGTTTCTTATTGAATTGAATTGAATTGATTCCATAGGTCAAAACTGCTGCCATTTTGTTTCATTGGTTCATTGTGCTATAGATTATATCTTTGCTGGTGGTGATGACCTTTAACCATTGTTCTCTGCTTGTTTGTTGCTATAAAGTTTCTAAATTAGTACCCATTTACACATAATGCTCTTAACTCAATTCCTGCCAACCTTCATTAGTTTCATTGTTTCATTTTGGCATTAGGTTCTAACGACAATGATTTCTTCTGTTACACACTTGTAACTATATTCATCAAGACCTCATCTGCTATTCTCTTTAATTCATCTCATTGTTGTAACCGCTGGTTGAACTTCAGTAGAACAAAGTCTCTTCATTAACCAGTTCAGTTTTGGTTTTCATTAATACCACTGTAGGCTCTGAGAAATCATCTATTTCAATGCACTTGACTTTCTTGCTCCTATCCTGTCCGCATCCTTGGTCCAGTTGTCCTGATTTTGTGTTGATTTCTTCTGCTCACATTGTGAATCATAAAATGCAGCTAAATTTGAAGACCAATAACTTTGCTTTTTTATTACCTTGGAACTCAATGATTGTTTAGAGTAGATTTTAAGATCACCTAGTTATAATAGACATCAGATAACCCCCTGGTTAGAGGTAATAGTTCAATATGTGCTTTAGGTCGTCTTGTATTTGTTGCTTAAATTTTTTGCCCAAATCTATGACAAGTGTCTATGACCAGGAGTTTCTATAAGGTTGAGGCCAAATGACAATTAATTTGGATCACAATGATTTCTATCGAGTTCTTCTCTAAATATCTAGCAGAATAATGAGGAGGGAAAAGTTGGTAAACCTAACATCATCTGCATCTGCCCACAAGTAATTAGTATAAAGCAGCATGCTTCTTCATCTTCAACATTCCCTGACTTCTTTCCCTAACAGGCTAATAGCCAATCAAACAACCTGTCTTCTCGATGAATTGATTTACCTTCTAGAACTAAGGATCTCATTATGGTATTTTTAAAATTTATCATTGTCTCCTTTCCTGTTGTCACAATTCCTAATGGTTGGACATGACACAGGTGCTACTATACCATTAGTTCTTTCTGTTATACCACCTGATTAATTCCTCACTGCTTCAAAAGTGTGACTGAAAATTTATCACATGGTCGATGTGACATCTGTTGCAATGATTTGTTCATTCAGTCTTTGCTTTTTTTTTTTTTTTGACCAAATTCAGTCTTTGCTCTTTTTTTTGGCCAATTCATCTTTGCTCTTTAGTGTGCAGATTTTTCAAAAGGTTTGAAAATTCTTTATATTGCCTAAACATGTCATTCAGAATTTTGGAATAGACATGGTTGAACCCTATTTCTGATTGCTGGATGTGAAAAATGGCAGATTTTTTCTAGTTAATAATTATATGTTATATTCCAAATCTATATGTAATAAAATTTACATGTGCAGTTAAACCACCAAACATCTGGATTGTTGTTTCAAACCTATCCATATTCTCTGCATTCTTACTGAAAATAGAAATATTTTTGAAGCATTCTTACTTTATTTTGCTTCACCTTTTTTCACGACAGAGGCTTTCTACAGACTTCTATATAACCGATCAGAACTCTGGTATCAGAGCTTTGGTGAAAGCTGGTTCTGGCTGTAAAGTTGTCCCCTTAGTTATTGAGAGCAAACTTGTCACTACTACAAAACAATGCAAAATTCTATCTCCTCACCTCAGCAATTGGTTAAGAGACAGAAACCTTTCTGCAGATGCCCGTCTACTACGTCTGGAAGAAGGGTAACCTTTTTATATGACCCGTAGCTTAAATTTCCTTCCGCTCTTGCTTATGCTTACTTAACACTTATAACCTGCAGATTTGAATGAGTTTTGGCAGGTATGTACAGGAAGGCAGCACTGTCACTGTAACTGGAATGTTGCATAAAAGTAATGATAGTCTAATGATTGTAGAGCCACCTGAAGTCATCTCCACAGGATGCTTATGGCGGAGGTTGCTTCTTCCAGTTGATGTTGATGGGCTGATCCTGGGGGTTCCTGATATGGACAACAGAACCCTATGCTTGACCTGAATTCAATTCAACACCCGGAACAGTAGTGTCTGACATATTAGAGATATATCTAAGACAAGGAGATCTTGGATGATAACTGATAGGGCTAATTTCTTCTGGGACTGTACCATTTGTAAGTTTTGTTTGTCCCCTTTTACTTGTAAGTAAGATAAACTGCTGGTACAAAGGTCCTAATTAGATTCTATTTTATATGGCTCAGTCACTTCCACTTTCAGTACATTTCTTCTGTCCTTATATTAGCAGCATATTATGAATTACTACGGTTATTTCACATAAAAGCAATCGAGAAATTTTGTTAATTAAAACAAAAAAAGAGCCTTCCATATGAAATTTTTCACACTATATTTTAGCATCCACATGGTCCATTCTATTACATTGTTAACCTTAACAAACATAAAATTCGTACTTAGAAAACATAGAATGTTTCTGTGCAGGTACTGTTCACCAGACCACACTGCAAGCAAGTTCCAAGGTAAATAGAATGTTACCTTAATAGTTCTTGCTAGTAGTAAGAAAATCCTGCTCTGCAACTTCAACTATAACAACCTGAACGACAAAAAATATCGAATTTAATGCTCAGTGAATGCCAACGACCAATTTAACACAAACAAACGGAATCTATTGAGCATAACCTGTCCCGGGATATCGGGCTGGAGGAGCTGGAGGTGGGCCTCTGTCCAACTTTTGGTTTGGTTTAGACTTAAGACCTTCCAGTGGGCATTTCGTTTTGGACTGTAAATTAGGACACTTTAAACAACCCACGATCCAACCGGTCATACTCGTATCTAGGCCGAGGAAAGACCCTTTTTGGGACATTCTTGAAGTCTGTGTTAAAAGAGGCGAACCTTTTCGGTTCCTTTTTATTATTTTTACGCCTAAAAGTTTTTTTTTTTTTTTTTTTTTTTAATTTTTAGTCTACTTCTGATTCCTCCGTCTTACACTTATATTTATAAATTTTTTAAAATCCGTAATATTCAAATGTTAACAGTAACATTCTGTTAACTGTTTTCAAGATTGGTCGACACGCTTAAGGAGATTTAAGTATAAAGATATTTAAAAAAAAAAAACTCAATTTCATTTTTTAATATTTGAACTATTATTTTTTCACATCTAAAAATATACATTTCATTCATATTTATTTTTTTTCAGCATTAAAAATCATTAAGGATGAACATTTTTAAAATAATAATTGTAATATGGTAGAAATTTTTGAAGTCAGGATATTTTTTCTTAAATTGCATGAAAGTAAAATACAAACTTAAGATTTGATAATATTAAGTATGATATGATAATATAATATTAAAAAAATATATGAAAATAATATAATTTAATATTATAAAAATTGTATATATATTTAAAAATATATATTTTTATATTTTACATATTAAAAATTATAATACGAATAATTTTTATATTATATATATTTAATACAAAATAAATATAATACAGATACAAAAATTACAAAAAATTTAAAAATCCATAAATATTTCCTACCTACATTTATTTCTTAATAAATAAATGACAAGTCGGTCTTCTTACTTTTTCTATGTTTGGATAAATTTGTCTAAAATGTAATTCATAATTAGAGGGTAACAGATGTAAAACAAATTAATTTCTCTTAGGTATGATTTGGGGTTACCATAATCTTCAATTTAATATAGTTAAAATTATTAAGACAACTTATGGAGGGGAGATCAAGTGTGATAAAGATAGATCCGGGAATTTTCACGTGGACTAATTGTGAAGCACGTGTCTTGCATCTGAAGGGTCAGTAATTGCCAACCATTTTTCAGGGAAGATAACTTCCCATACAGACAACCGCCCTCAACTATTCCCCCATTTCCATTCCTTTGACTTCTGCTCAACATGTAAGAGAATCCATGTCGGTAAACTCTTTTCTCCTGAATATTCACACCGGTTTTTTTTTTGTCTAACTGTGAATTTTTCTGTGCTTTGTTGGATTTTTGTTTTCCTTTTTGTAGTTGAAGAAATGGGTTCGGGAGAAAAGGTTTTTGTTTATGAAGATGTGGCAAATCACAAAGAGAGGAATGGTTGTTGGCTTTTGATCTCTGGAAAGGTTTGATTTTTCTTCGTAAATATGATTTGGGTTTTCCCCCTTTTTGTTGTTATTTTACTTGATTTAAGTTATAGAAACTATGTTGAATGTTCTCTTTATTACAATGGAAAGATCAGTTTTTTTATTAGAACTTTTTGAAGCAGGCAAGTTTGACCTTTTTTCTTGTTTCTGATCTGTATGTACGTTTATCTACTTTTGGATAAAACTGAAGATAGAGCAGATATGGAGATTTAATGATTTATGATATGTTAAAATTTTAGAAATTTAATTCATCTTGGACAAGAGAAATAAAACAAAAAATTCATGCCATAATTAACTTATTGAAACATTATTTTGAGTACAAGGTTTGTTTTTGATGAAATTGAGACTACATGTTCCCCTGATTTCTTGCTGAACCTTTTAACCTGCTGAATGGATTAGCTGGCATTTTCGTGGCATGTGATTTGTGAAATATAATTCTGGCTTTTGTTGTCTGTCCACTTTGTATAATTCTATCTGAAGTATTAGAATGAAGTCAATTTAAATTTTGTCAAGAGTGATGGCAACCATTTCATTAAATAATTGTTTACTTCTTTACCTATTTTCTTTTCATCCTATCATATCAGGTGTATGATGTAACACCATTCTTGGAGGAGCATCCTGGAGGAGATGAAGTCTTGCTTGCTGCTAGCGGTAAGATGATATCAGTGCTACCTGCCAACAATTAGCAGTATATCATATTTCTTTAGCTCGGGCTCGTTCACGTTATTATATTATACCAATATGAACAACTAATTATGCAGGAAAAGATGCTACCGATGATTTCGAAGATGTAGGTCACACTGATGATGCAAGAGAGATGATGCAAAAATTCTGCATTGGTAAGGTTGACAGCACCACGGTTCCCGTACGAAAGAAGTTCAAAACACAGACATCGGCAGTAACTCATAAGCAAGATGAGCCTGGCTTTCTGATTAAGATATTACAGTTCCTGGTACCCCTCTTAATCTTAGGCTTCGCATTTGGTTTGCAATTCTTGGGAAAGAAGGAAAAAGCTGAAGCTTAGATTGCTTACTTTTCCCATAATGGAACAATCAAAAAGATCCTGCTAGCTCAGTATAAGCTTAGTGAAAGCTGTCTTTGTTGTAATACTCTTGGCGACCTATTTTAGGTTGTTAATAATAATGGCTTGGCATGTAATTCTCAATCCCTTGCTATTGTTTCAGATCCTAACCCTTAAATTTTAGTCCTTTGGTTGGTGTTTTTGCTTTTTGCCAGTTGTCTCTTATTTTTAGTTTATTTTTTATTTTAGCTTTTTAATTTTCTATTGAAAAAAGTGAAGATACCGTCCAAATGGAGCTTAAGTAACATATGTCGAGCATAGCCTTATGATTATCAAACATCTAGACATGTCTTAAGGAGAATAGTTGCTACTCAATTAACCGCATCAATCATGGTTATCAAATTTCTAGTTATCTGTTAATCACCTCCCCTCCACTCTCTCTCTATCCACACTCACAAAAGAAACAAAAATGTTGAAAGGAAGAGTGCTTTAGCTGAGACTGAAGGACAACGCGAATAATTTTTCTGAAACAGGGAGAAAACAAGCGTGATACTAGACATTTTAGTCTTGGTAATCTATCCAACACCAGATAAACCCATTTATTGATTACATGCTAGTATCCCAATGTGGAAACATCTCTCCGTTCAGCACTCTGCTGGGTACAAGGAATAATGGCCTGCTACCTTCGGCAAATTAATGTTAACTAACGCTCTTCCCCCCTTTGATCTGATGCATGCTGGCATAGATTCCGTTGTATTGTTCATTACGTCAATAGCTAGCCTCAGATGGTCCAGATTGCCAACCCTCGCCAGTCAGGAAGTACTGCCTTAATCTCATGTTCTACAACTGCCCCATTTCCGCACAGCAATAAATAGAGCAGCATTAAAGCTGCTTATGCGTTTAATGTTTTATGATGGGATTTCTTGTTTTGATGTAAGGGCCTCCCCATCCGATCCAGTATGTTAACCACGAAGCGGCAGCCTTTGTGGACATTAACATATAAATCTTATCCACAGCAAAATATACCACATTCTGAAACGACTTGCTTGAACAAAAAACTTCCGTATAGAATATCTTCCAGCTTCTAACAGTTATAAATTGCCCAAAGTATGAGACATTTTATGGCAGTACGTATCTCGGTTCATCTGGCATTGTTAGCCGAAGACGTTTTCTACATGACCTTTGAATAGTGCTACAATTTTATCACATTTTTATCACCTTCCATTGAAATGATACAGTACTTCTCACTGACCCATGGCACACAAGTTTCAGGTTTGGTAAGATGGCCATAACTTGGTATGAGTAATGCATCAATAATAACAAGACGACATGTTAATATGTACATATAATTAATAGAACAAAAATCTATGGTGTCCGGCTCCCCAAAAGGAAATATATATAAATATATATTTTTTTAATACTAAACTCGAATAAGAAAAAAGTTGGATGTACTTATTTCACACACTCACATAATATGTAATTAAGTTTTCAAAATTTTATTATTGTTCATAAAAATTATTATAATTTTTACTTAAATTCCTAAAATAAAAAGTATAGGTGTGAAATAAATGTATGAGATGTGCAAAGCACTCTCCATTGGGATAATGGATTATTCTATTGGTAGATCCTGATCTGTCAACTTTTCAGATTAGGATACAGCTTGTTTATGAGAAAGGCCAAGCCTTCTAATGCATAAAATCATCAATATTGGCCCAATGGATCTCCTCGGATTCCTGTACATATGGTTGAAAATCCTACACCTGCTGCTGGAGTAACAAGCATTGTAACGCCAGGAAGATATCTGGCTGGAACCTGGAAGGGAAAGATATTTGCAAACAATAAACGACATACCAAGAAGACGATTATGGGTTTAAGGAAAGATATTTGCAACTAAATAGATATTTCTGAAGAACAAAATATAGGTTGAGGAGGAATGGATGGTAAAACTGTTCTTCTCTCCCTTTTCCTTCAACTATGGAAAATAATTTCACATACCAAAACAACATACACAGATCTCTACTTGGGAAAGGACCAGAACAAAAGAAGCTTTTTTCATTTACCAAAATTTAGAATTTGAAAAGAAAATTGTATCAGAAAGTGAATTTTAATGGGGGTTAGAATGTTGTGACAAATTAATTTGGTTGTTGGAGTAATAATTTCTTTTAATTAATTATTTTGGTTCTTATCATTCATATAATAGTACATCATATAGTAATTAATGTAATCTCTGAAACAAGCAGAAGGTCCAAATCCGTCTCTTTGCTTTTGTGGATAACTAATTTTACAAATAGTATAAAGATTTCACAAGCAAAAGATAGATAAATTCTGGAAACAGTGAAAACCAATTATTTATGACTGATAGAAAACAAACAAAATAACTAGGGCAAGTCACATGGGCAATAAACAATGATAACAGCAATAGTCTGTACATATCAACTAATGGGGTCAAACTCCGAAGGACTGGAGAAGTGGAAATGTTATTGAAAACAGTGGTTTGGGACAAAAGTTTTTAAGTAAATTCTGATACAATCATATAAGCAAACTCTGATGTGTCGCAGGCTCTTTTAGTTAGCTGCAGAAGAAAGTAATCAACCATGTTAATTGTATGAAAATTATAATGAAATTCAAATCTCAACACATTTCCTTTTCCTATTTTTAAATTGCAATTTTTTTGTTAGAAAAAAAGAAAGTTACGTGGATAGAATCTCTCAGGTTTTGGTTAATCTAAGACTATCCCTTCTTCACTTACCTTATTCACAGTTTTAATTATATAGTCCATCCCATGTCCTTAGTAAAACTAAGCTTATTTGCAGTGAATTACAAAGCCGACGCTGGAACAGTATAAGGTTCGTTAGTTTGCATTATTTGAGCATATAATCTGCGAGATTTCTGCGATATGTTACACTCAAGGATTGAAAGATAGATTAGATGTTGTGAAGAAGCAGTTTCACCAACTAGACAGATGGGAAAGTTCATGATAATCCATGCCTAAGTAAATGCACTTAGGAAAATCAGTTGATTACTACAATTACTATCCTTATCCACTAAATCATGATTAGTCTGCTTGGTTAGGTTAATGACGTGATGGCCTTACCTTTCTCTTCTTATACTAGTAGTGCTATTATTGCAAATAAATTTCAGGGGAAAACATAAATTTATACATAATTTCATCATGTCCAAAAGCTTGTTTTGTTGGGGGTTTTATCAAGCAATCACATCATTTGTAAACGAATAATTTTGATAATAAATGATGAATAATTCATTAGTTCCTTTGTTGTCAGCCCGACATAATTCCTCAATCTCCCTCTGTCCCCTTTATTCAACTTTATATATATAGGATCGATTGGTGTAATAGGTGACATAATCTATAATTAATAAGCATAAGATATTATGCTCCTGCTGGAACAGATCACTAAAGACCAAAAGCAGTTGACAAAGCAAATTTAAAGAAAAAAATAAATTAAATTATTATAGTTACATCTCAAGTTAGTTTCCACACTCTTTTAAATTATCAACCAAGAAAGTAACAATTCAAATAATTAAAGAAAAAAAACTTGTTATCATGATTAACAAGTGGGCAATTCAAAATTAATTAATGAGATTGAAGTGGACATGAACAAGACCGGAATTCCCATTTCTTCTTGAAGCTGAATTGTTCCTTATCCAAACAAAGGGAAGTCATCTCATGTTTGTTTCTAGTTCTTGGATTTCTTTTCCTGGTCACAGTCTATGTCTAAAGACACAGGGCAGGGCAGGGCAAGGGGTAGGGTGGGTTGGGGAGAGGGTCTTACTGCTATTGTTGACGCTATCTTTCACTTTGTTTAATTAGCTGATTGAAACCGGTAGGTAGTCATTATCAAGTTCATCATAGAGAAAGGTTTGAGTTAATCAGATCGCTGTCAATGGCTCCATATGTTATTCTCAACCGTCTTAATTGCCACGAGCCAAATGGGTGACAACAACTTATCAGGCTTGTACACATAATTGAACTTGCTTTTAATGTCGGCGAGTTCCTCAGTTTTTGAGTATCCCATCTTGACCCCTAAAAGCAAAAGAAAATTCATAAGCCCCAGGCGACTGAGGTTACATGCTTCCTATAATGCCCCACTTTTCTGGCATAATAATCATGCCTGCCCTTATAAAAAAGGCCAAACAGTTGTGATCAGACTGATATTAATTTCTCTCCTCTAATAAAAATGAACCCAATATGCATTTAGTGTTTTTAAATTTCATTATGTATTTGTTCTGTTGAGGAAGATGATTTTTTTAGCTTGCAAGCAGTCAAGAGAAATGAGTAGGATGATGTGATGCAGGCTGAGCCATCAGCTATATTTAAATGTTTTTTTGGTAAAGTTCTAGGCAAACTTGTAATCACAATTAAGAAACCAAGGATGAAAAGGAACCAATTCCTAAGTTTTTGGCACTAATTGATTAAAACATTAAAACCATCATTGAATGGATACCAAACCTTTAGCCTCTTAACTGGTGATGTAATTGCCATATTGATATGTGCAAAATTTTTTAGCTTTGAAGATTGTCAAGATTGTTTTTTTATTATTAAAGTTAAAAATTGCATCCTACCGACAAATCATATTACTTTCAATGTTATTAATAAATTTTTATCATATTTTTGGTATGACAATGTCATCTCAACACTTGTACTTCTGCCAAAATTAAAGAAATGAAGTAAAAAATATAGCAAACCTTAGAATTGTATCATTATATTTGATGTGATGATTTTTTCTGCTTTAGTCTACAAATTATGGGATATATAGGTTAAAAAGGACCTATATAATAGTATTTGAGACTGCTTTTGTAATTAAAGGTGATTGTCTATTTGGGCCTAACTAGCGACATGTATGTACTATGAGTGCTAGCAGCTAGAAAAATCATGCATCCACCACAAGATGTAATTTTCTTTATATTTTGAACTAAATAAATAAATTTTCCTTTTTTTTTTTTTTGGGGGGGGGGGGGTGGGGTCGTATCAAGTTGTTAAATGGGAATGATTTTGTTGTGGTCCAAACAATTTTGGGCATGTAGTGGGAAGGCCCCTTTTAGGGTAAGGGACATCCTTGGAATGGATCCAGATAAAAGAATAAATATTCAAAAGAAATTAAAAGAATATATTGAAGACGCAACATTAAGCCCTATTATTTTTAGATTGCTATCCAATCTACCATGGTTCTCAACTTAAGAATGTGAAGGTTTTTACCAAATGATGTAAGCTAACTTGTAATAACACCGAATGATGTAATCGGATTATAAATCATTTACAAAACCATTTATTTTTGAAGGATTTATTATTTTGATAATTGCAAAACAAACTAGTTATGTCATTACTAATCATTATTGATCGAATAATCGGTTGATCAATTATTAGACTAAGAAGAAGAAAAGATAAGAGACAACTATAAACATTGATATCTCCTTCACTGTAATCTGATGATGGGGATTAAAGATGTCGATTTCGATGTTCATCTTCTTTCCTGAAAAGTTGGAACATGATATTTAATGTTTTGGATTCTTAGCAGAGACCAGCCGTCCATGGCTGGGCCCTTTGGAGTGTTCACAGATGTACTGGTTTTAACACGCTGATTACACTGTTGATTCTCATCCACATGTTGTCTGTTGGAATTTAATCCCAGGAATAGCCAACAATAATGACTGATTACAGAGCTATCAACCTAATTTCCATGCTATCTGAGGTAAAACTCTGTCGTTTGGGCGCTCATTTTCAACTTAAAGTTTGATACTTTTAGAATCTATTACTTATCTTAATGCTTCACCCACCTTCCATATAAGGCAACCTAACAAGCAAGACTGGTGAAATTTCTGCAGAAACGTCTATCTTTGCCTTCAAATGTTTGCCTAACAAAGAAAAAAAAGCCGTAAACTTTGATTTCTCTCTCTATTATTACCATGTTTAAATCAAATGTAATGCTAGTATTTATTACACTAACACTAAGAAACAAGAGGGCAAAAAAGGTTAGATGAAGACATGTGATAAAAGACTTCTGAAAACGAAAAAGAGAATATGCAGAGCTGCACAAAAGTTCAAGCAAAAATGGTATATTTCGATACCATACGCCAAGATTTTATCACGATTCATTCGGTCTTGGATTTATTCAGATTTCCAATCAATATTGAAAACAATTGTAAGTGTGATTAACGGTTGTGTTTTTTTTTTTTTAATTTTATTGTTGTTATTTTTTCATAAATATTTGTATAATATTATAGGAAAATGACCGAGAGGGAGCCACATGGTCTCAGATAATTTCAACTTGCTTCATTTCAGTTTCAGGCTGGAAATTTCGAAAACCCAATTCAAGTTTTGCGGATAAAACAAGTTTGAGAAAGAATATTATGTTGACTTCTTAAAATTTATTGTTCCATGACATTGACTCCAAATTCTTATATCTTTTGTGGTGTCTTGACCTTTCGTTCTTCCAATTAACAATTTTCATTTTATTTATATATAGATAGATTTATTGAGATTCTTCCAATATATTCAAGATTATATGAACCATGGCAGCAAAGATATTGTAATTTATATCAATTTCATAATATTTATTAAGATTTTAGATATCAATATCAATGTCAAGCGTTGAAACGTTCATATTTAATAATTAACTATATATATACCTATCAATTGTAATATATTATCATTACCATATGCTTTTAAGTAATTAAACATTGTGAATATTTGCTTGTGAAACTATACATCAAATTTTAATCTTTACCCTATGATAAAATTTCCCAAATATTTATGCATTCTTTTCAACTCTCCTTCTTCATTGCTCCATGCATCTCTGACCATGTCCATGAAAGATATTGGAGAGTTTTTTTTTTTTTTTTTGTAAAGAGAAGATATTGGAGAATGTTAAAGCACAAATTAGATGTCCAAACCATGCAAAGGCCAGATTGATTCATCGAACAACGTAAAAATAGATACTTAACCATGCAGTAAAAAGGGGAAAGATAGAAGAAAGAGAGTAACAATACTTGGCAACTTATAGTACTCTCTCACCCGTATATTTACAGCAGTTAAAACAAATGAAAATTAAAAGCCTGACACTTAAGAGACACGACCAAGACAACATTATCATGCGTTTAGATTCTGTGAACCCCTTCGATAAAACCACTACTGACTACTAGTAGTATTTTTTTTGTCTTAATTTTTTGCTTTTCTTCACCTCATTTTCCACGTGACAATGCCAGAAATAATAACCTTAGTGAGCCAGGCTTAACCTTCGCCTGGGCCGAACTTTGACACTCAAAGGATTGGCCATCTCACAAGATAGCCTTAGAACCTCGGATAGGTCGACAGTATTCTGATCGGACGGTAGCCATTCGAACTCGTGCAAAAGTTGCGCAACCCAAAAGCTGACGGTGGTCAATCCCAAGTTCTTTCCCGGGCATGTTCGCCTGCCCGAACCGAATGGGGCCAGCCTAAGGTCCGAGCCAAGCACAGAAAACTCCACCTCACCCTCTTTAGTCACAAATCTATCGGGCATAAATTCAAGTGGGTTCGCCCACTCTTGAGGGTCCCTTGTGATGGCCCACATGTTCACCATTGCGGTGGTCCCCTCGGGCACGTGATAACCATCAATAGTCGTATCAGTGATAGCTAGGCGGGCCCAGGAGAGTAGTGGGCCCGGTGGATGGAGCCTCAGAACCTCCTTGATCACAGCCGGAAGATAAATCAAGTTCATTAAATCAGACTCGTTAACGGCTCTTGATCTGCCAACTACCTTGTCGAGCTCATCATGGACCGTTGACTGAACATCAGGATGAAGCACAATTCTAGCTAGTATCCACTCGATCAGGACCGCCACGGTATCAGTTCCCCTGAATACCATTTCCTAAACAAAAATCAAACAATAAACAAATGACAGTATTTAGTACCCCCCAAAACTCAGTACCAGAAATAGTATTAGTAGATTTGTCATTTAGTAGACTTTCATTTCCCTAACAACTTTCTTAAACAATACACGTTTTTGGGCCAGAAAAATATTAAACATATGAGAAACAGTCATTTTAAGAACAATTACTATCGGATATATAGCTTACCCACAGAACGGCGATCATATCGGAGTCTGATAATTTATCGGCACCTTGGAGAGAAAGCAAAACGTAAACGAAATCTCCAGTTTTTCCGTTTGTTTGAGCTCTGTGTTCGGATATAATTCGGCTGACAAAGCGGTTAACTTTAGGTACGAGGTTTGAGCATCTAGCTCTGATTTTTTGAGGGTCAAAATCTGCTAGCCAAGGAAGATGGTCAGACCAATTTAATGTGCCCAGTAAATCGTACCCTTCATCAACTAGAGCTCGAAGTTCTTCAACGTCATTATTGGTGGAATCTAACTTATATTTTTGTCCGAATATCGAAACCATCATGTTGTTTAGAGAAGCTCGTTTAAGCACTTCGCGTACGCGAAAGCTTTGGTTATGTTGAGCAAATAAGGTGACCATTTCAGAGGCAATCAAGCTTCTCTGATCCTCTGCACCTTTGATTTGCTTAGGACAGAAAAGGTGCGTAGCCGCGATTCTCCTCAGGGTTCGCCAGTAAACCCCATAAGGAGCGAACCCAATTGCTCTGTTGAACATCAAGCTATAAGCTGACTCTTTCACAGGACGATCAGCAAAAACAGAGCTGTTAAGAATCTCTCTTGCTACATCCGGATTGCACGTGACAATAATACGAGTATCACCTAGGCTAAAGGCCATGAGCCTCTTGGCTTTGCATGTCTCGGCAGCGGCTGCAATCCGATGGTGAGCCAGGGAGCTGGCCATGAGGTTCATGCTGCCAATTACAGGCAACCCTATAGGCCCTGGAATTGGCTTGTTAGCAATAGAAAGAGAGGAAAACTTTTTGAACCTATACTTGCCCCAAGCTGGACCACCGGGGTGAGCCCAGTAGACTAAGGTCATAGCTAGCCAGGCAAGAACGATAATTAAAATTGACCATGCAATGTTTTCTTGAGAAAGAGCTCGGCATTTGGATGCAAGGGCAAATACCCAGACACTCTCTATGTCATTTCTCATGGTGTTGGATAGCTTTCTAGCTAGTATTGTGATAATTGAAAGAAGTTGGTACACAGCAAAGCAAGGGCAAACTGAAAAAGGACGTTGGCTTTTTTATTTTGGGGTGTAAAATGAATTGAGTCTGGCTGCTATTTATATAGGGCCGGAAGAAAGAGAGCTTAGACAGCGAGAAAATTTAATTACCGTTATAGTGAGAAATAGGACCTTATAACTGGACATTTTTATTTATATACTTATGCAAGAAGTCTATGGCACATAATTTTTTTTTTTCTTCGTTTTCATTCAAGTACTCGCGCCGCCACGAGGAAAATAGATCTCCGACATTGGAGCGCGTGGAAACGCGCCCTAATTGTCTGCGATCGTGTGCTTACTCGCTGACGTTTATTTGTCGGGAACACGACCTCACAAAATGAACAAGTCAGTTCTAGCCAATGCAAATTCGCCATTGATGACGATACTGTAAGCTTATATTAAAACCTCAATTTGGAGTGTGAGCGGATAAAATTTTCTCAACGTGAGGATGACGTTTTTAATAGCACAAAAAATATTTGTGAAATATATAATGAATAATGTATCGATTAAAGATTAATTTGCAAAAAGAAAGTTGACATTATTTGAGTGAAATAATGAAAAAAAATGATGCAAGTTCTGTTATCATTATCAAATTTTTTACTACTAGTTTTTATAATGTTACTTTCAAAACAATTTCTATAAACATCTTATTTTCATTCCCAATCGAAAACTGTTCCAAGGAATATCCTTTCATCTATAAATTTCATTTGATTTACATTTGAGATGATTAGAAAATAGAGAAAAATAATAATAATCAGCATGCTTGCCAAATCTAATAAGATGAAAACCACACACACACAAACAAAATAGCTAAATACTCAATTTAAAATTTGACGTATGAGTATTTTTTTTTAGTAAAAATATTATCTTTTATTTAGTTTAATTTAAAATTAAACATTTTCAAGTTTGTTTAAAACAAGACTTAATAACAAAAGTATGATGCACACGTCGTTAAAGTCCAACATTAATTGTTTTGTTTTATTCGAAAAAATGTTAATTTCTTAAAAAAAAAAAAAAAAAACAACAAATATTAGCCAAATATTTTCAAAAAAAAAAAATCCAAAACCAAATCATTTAAAAATAAATTTTCAAGCACTTTTTCTACTTTTGCAGCTGTCTTTGCTTTTGAATCCACACTTTTGTTACTTCTCTTCTCGCCGCCTTCTTCACTTCTTGTCTGCTTAAAGCTTGAATTTCACGTTTCGGCTATGGATCAAAATTCATGTTTTCTCCAAAATCTGTAAGTCTGTAATCAAGTTATTGTTAGATTTTTTTATTTTCCAAAGCTTCCTCCTATTGACTTATTGATAATCCCAGCTTTAACTAAATCTTAATTTCATCATCTCCTACCCATTATTGGTTATTGGGGTTTTTTTTTAATGTCAATCTTTTATTTTTATTTCTTTGATATATTTTATAGGTATTTGGGTGTTAAGAAAGTATGAAAAAAAAGAGAGAAAAGTGGTTAGTTAATTTAGAAAACGAATATATTATTTTTGGTTATTTGAGTTGATTATTTTTTTGGAGTTGACTTTGTTTTTTAAGATTGATTCTTTAGGATTGATTATATAAAATAATTTCATTTTTGGGTTTGGAGTTTTTTTATATATTTCTTAGGTTGAATGTTGAGAAAGCATGGGAAAAAAAATATATGGATTAAGTTTGGAAAGATAATATTTTGGGTTTTTGACTTAGTTATTTTCTGGGTATTTGATTGATGAGAAACTGTAAGAAAATAAGAGAAAATTAATTGGTTTAAGTTATTTTAATATTTTAATTTTTTAAATAGTTTATTTTTTTGGATTTTAGTTGTTATTACTGTGTTTGTGTTAATAAAGAAGAAGCCAAAAAGAAACATTGTTTTTTTTTTTTTTTGAACTTTAGTTCAACATTGAAAAATATTATTTTACCTCTTTTTTTTTTTAATTTGTCTCAGCTTCACATTTTACCTTTTTAATATATTTCAATCTTTTAAAAGGCATGTACAATTTACTACCATTAAAAGTTTTATTTTGAATATATTTATAAATGTTTAATATTTATTTGAATTAAATTAAAAATAACATTTTTAATTGAATAAACGCCTAATAACTAATCGTACGATCCTAAGTTGATTATTTAGTCAAAAAAAAATTAATGAATTAAGTATATTTTTAAAACTTGCCTTTGAAATTAAATTTGAGAACTTTTGGTTGATCTACAAGCCTACGAGGCTACTGAGTAGGTGTGAGGGAGGAGCGTGAAGAATGGCGAGTGGAGAAGACAATTTCCTCGGACAAGTTAACATGGGGAGGGGGGGGCCGCGTTAAAAAATTTCAGGGTTTCCAAGGAATGACACGAGAGCGTCGGGTTGACGGATATTGTCGGGCGGCTTAGGTACGGCTGCACATGAGGCCCATGGACCCATGCCGTCTTTCCCCATACAATTCCATTAGGCGCAAAAAAAAGACACCCAGCATGCTTTAATACGCCATATCTAAATCCCTTTCGAAAAAAGCCAAAACCGTATATGGAGCATTGCCTCCCTCTGGACACGTGTCCGTTGCATGCAATGCCTAAGTACACGATGGTGACAACTCCTGTAACTCGCGTAACGAAGTTTCAGGCTCTTTTCAATTCTCACCCGTCACACGTGGCCTTCATGTGGGATAAAAACTAATGGCGAATTCCTTCTAATGCCCATGCTTTGTTTGCAATTATGAGGCCCATGTGGCTAAAATATATGGATATAATTGTCAAGAAAAATTTAGACCGTCACACTTGGTATGATTTGCTGTGGCCTCCGGACAGCGAAAACGGAAAGCTGAGTAAACAGGGACCCATATCTGTCGACGTGTTAGAGCTCCTTGGTAGTCGTTGAACGGCTTCGATTGTGAAGTTGTGTCATGAGCAATCCCTGACCGTTGATCATGCTGGCCTGAAAGCAACAAGGTAGTCAAAATTTTGGAGATTTTAGAATTGGAAAGGGCAAGACCAAGACCAAGACCAACAAAGACCAAACCTTGGTCAATATAAATGTAATCTTCATTCATCATGTGTGTTTTTTCAAGACAATGGACGAGGTTCTTTGAACCAAGTAGATTGGGTTTATTAAGAATTTAAGGTTAAAAAAGGAAACAAAAATAGAGATTAGTTGAGAGAAACTTAAATTAATTTAATGTCTTAAATATTTGTTAGAGATATTTTTAAATTTAAAAGATAAATTAATTTTTTTATATTAAAACTATCAATAAACAGTTAATAATATTTTTAATTTTTAAATCGATATGAAATTTATAATATCACATCAGCTCTATTATATTACTATTTTGCTCTCACAAAGTTTTCACTTTTCGTTTATAAATAAAGTCATCCAATTATTATATAATTCAATCTAATTTTTTTTTAACCTTTTAATTTGAGTATTAAAATGCAAATACAAAGAGTATTTTCTACTTTTACTTTTAATCACTCTCCTTCTCTTGTAATTTCAATATCCTTACCTTAATTCGGAGTTCAATACAAATAATATTATTTATTACTTGTTGTCAATTGAACACATTGAAATTTTGATAAGTGGCATGCAATTAGGAGTTAGTAGTAATTTTGAATATAAAAATTATGTTTTTAAGGAAAAGTTGGTTAACTACAAGTAGGATTATGTATGTTGCAACAACAAATTTTCTTTTCATGGAAGTAAGTAGAATAGCATTGTAAATACAATTTAATAAGTAAACCAGCATATAAATGCCAGGTCATGCATGATCAATTTTGATAAAAGTGATCATATCACTGATAATAAGAGAAAATCAAATACAAAATTGAAGAGAAGACAAAATAGGACTCATACATATGAAATGTAAAGGGTTTAAGAACTATTGTAACTTATCTTTAATGCATGAACTCATCATTCATTTAGATTTTAAATTTTTTGGTCAAGAAACATTAAAGAAGGCATGAAAATTTGGGTTTGAACCAAGTAATCATCTCCTCTTTTCAAATCTTGTAGATAAAAAAATTTGAATATTGAAATCATGCTATAAAATTATATATATTTATATAAAATACAAAAGGCAGATGAACCTACAATCTAAAAGGTTTCTTTAATGTATTCAAGAGAATGAAGTTTGGATTGATCGAAATTTTAGCAATTTCCCGCTGAGTGTGCCATTACCTCATAAGAAAAATCACGAGGGACTCATTGAACATAATTGTTATCAAAAAAAAAAAAAAAAAAAGGAAATCCATTGAAACTTAAAAAAAAATATATATATATATGTATTATGTATACTTTGTAACTTTAAAAAATGGGAATATATATATATATATGTATTATGTTTGTGTGTTAAGTTGTGTGAAATTTAATTATTATTATTTTAATGTTGGTTGTTTTTACTTAGAACAAATACATGGATTGACTTAATTTTATATTTTACAATTTTAAGTGTATTTTGAGTTTTTTACACATATAACTAATTGATTGTTTTAATCATACTTTCATTTAAACAATTGCTCGTATAAGAAATTATCATTGTAAGTGTAATTTTTTTTTCATAGTAAAATAGTTGCAAAATGAATGTAACTCTAATTTAAAAGTGAATCATTTTAACTCTTGTGTGTTTAATTTTTATTTACATTTGTTTTATTACAAATTTTAAAAAATATGGTTTCGATCCAAACAATATGTTAATTATATATCCAAAAGAAAAATATAGACTACTTTTTAGGCATGATTAAGGGGAAGCACATACAGTTCTAAATCAGAAAAAGTAAGCTTCATATCTCCCACCAAAGCTCCTTTGAATATATTAAAGTGAAGACCATAAACCAAATCATATATACCTATTCTGCTTGTTGCCCTTATAGGTGAGAAAAATTAAACCAAACAAAGCTACAAAGAAGCTTCCACATGATTTGGTTTTTATTTTAGTCTCTGCCCAAGTCTCACAAAGACAAAACCAAGAACATATGTCTTTTTATTTTATGTCTGATCAACAAATCAGGGAGACCCCGAATCTTTACCAAGATGTCACTGTCTGGCGGGCTTTCAAAGCGACTGCTGTCATGGAGAGACAGACAAATTACTGGACTGCTTGGAAATTTAATGATGTTGCAAGCCAGTTAGCACGAGTGTTTGAACTTTGAATCTTTTTTTTTTCTCCAATTACAAATCCATACCGACAAACTGTTGCTATGGAAAGAAATTTCCTTTCGTGTGTGGTAAGACAACAACATTGAGTGGCTGTGATATGAATTTTTTACTATATACATATCATTTCTGATGGGTGAGTCCTATAAAATTCTCTCATGGGAGCACGAGGGGAAGAAGTGGGTGAGGGTGGGAGGAATCTGCAGTTTTGGCGAATATTTTATTCTATCTACATCTACACTAATCTTCTTCAAGCCTTTTTCATGACAAGAATT